AGCGTCCAGAGTACACATATATAGGTTATACAACGTATGCATTTCCTGACCCCTCTAGGTCCCATATATGGTAATATGTTAAACATTGTGATCTCAGCATTCCTGATGGTATGGAAAATTACCAGACAGTTGAACATTGACACAGAGATAAAAATAGTGAATTGGCTACTAAGCAAAGCAAAAACAGGATATGGGTGAATTATGGCTGAAGCAGTCAAGGACAGTGTGAGAGAGCATTATCTCCAGACTCAGCAATTTCTGGAATGCCTTGTGACCTTCCACCTCACTAGGGCAATGTTTTTGAACCTTATCAACTTGAAGGTGGATGGACTTCAATTCCCAGAGTTCTGGGAGTTAAAGTCCACCCATCTTCAAGTTATTAAACTTCAGAAACAATGTCCTGGTGGGCTACATCCAATGTAGCCTTTCCCATGAGCGCTGGATTTAGACCTTGGGGGCTCTAAGCTATTGGGAGCTACAATGGGTATACCTACCGTGTGTTCATAGAGCATAAGGTCATAGAACTTCTGAACATGTCAAGAAGGCCACCAAGTTGCATAGCAATCCATAATGGGGTAGGGAAGGGCATTATTTACCTTAATTTATTTTGTTAATGACTGTCAGCAGGGATGACGGCCACTGTGATCGAAGGGGGAAGGCGTTGGCTTAGGAGCTGGGAGCCCAGCTTTGTGTCAGACCTCCAGTCTAGAAGGTTCCCAGGGGATTCTGGCCCCATCGGACCCTGTTCAAGGGGGTCTAGTGTGGAAGGGGCTGGCCTCGGACCAGGGAAGTGACTCAAGTTCCAGGCCTCCTTAGATGCAGAAGACATCTGGGTGACCTTGGATGGTCCTTTTCCGTCAGACTGTGGGAGAAGCCAACTGAACCCCAGCTCTTGTTGCACCTGGTTCTGAGACCTTCTCCAGGTCCTCCACATCAGACCAACACTAGGAACAGCAGCAACATTTGTCGGCAGCCACAGCGTAACCTGAAAGTGTTGTCGAGACTTCCCAAAGCCCGTTGACTGACCACTACTTAGGACACAGAGCTTCCTTCCTCCTGATCTGGGTGAACATCACCAGTTGAGGAGAGAAGCATCCACAAAACACGGCATGGGAGTGGATCCCTATTTTCCAACCGGGCAAATCCTCCCAGAGAAGTTGTGACCCCAGCCCCTCAGTTACCTTGCTCAGAGAGGGAGAGCAAGGTGCCCTTGCGAAGGTACCACTGTCCTTCTATGTTGCCCGTTACAGAGAAGGCCCAGCAGGAGCCACACTCGCCCTGCAGAGAGAAGAAGGGACGACACAAACAGCATCAGAAAAGCTCCATCCAAGCTTTAGGGCAACCTTTCTCAACCTTAGCAACTTTTAAGATGGGTAGACTTCAACTCCCAGAATTCCCCAGCCAGCAAAGCTAGGAAAGTTGAGGTCCACCCATCTGGAAGTTGCTAAGGGTCAGAAACACCGTCCTGGGGAGACACCTGGCCTAATTCACGGAGGATCAAGCTGTGCTGGCTGGGGAATTCTGGGAGTCGGTCCACAGGGCTTAAAGTTGCCAAGGTTGGACACCCCTGCCCTAGATCACTTGACACGGCCCTGTCGACCGGTCGGGCATCACCACCTAGGCAGAACGAGCTCAGCCCCACCCAGGGCCCCATCTCAGAATCCATCCGTTTGTCCATGGGATTTAGCCTAAGAAGACCCACCTGGTTTTTGACCCCTGTGACAGCCCCATGGTCCCGCCAGTCCCATTCCTCAGGGAAGGAGCCATTCGGGATGGAGGCCACTTTCATTGGCCGGCCTGGTAGCTTCGCCAGCAGCGGATTCAGGTACGTGGAATGGAACTCTTCCTCTGGAAGGACAGAAGCAGACCAGGAGTGGCAAATCCTGCCCCCACCTCATTCTCCATTTATATAGAAGATAGAATCATAAGGCTGGAAGGGATCTTGGAGGTCTTCTAGTCAACCCCCTGCTCAAGCAGGAGACCCTAATGAAGGGATTAGTCCAATACACAACACACAAAGCCACAATTAAGCACATGGTCTTGATAAGACAGGACTGAAGTGAGGCTGACACCATAATTAAACTAACCCCTCTTACTGGTACTATTAGGACAATTATTATTACAGGTAGTCCTCAAATTTACGTTGCTAAGTGAGACATTTGTTAAATGAGTTTTGTCCCATTATACAACCTTTCTTGCCCTGGTGGTTAAGTGAACCACTGCAATTGTTAAGTTAGTGACACAATTGTTAAGCGAATCTAGTTTCTCCACTGACTTTGCTTGTCAGAAGGTCGCAAAAGGGGATCACGCGACCCTGGGACACTGCAACCGTCATAAATGTGAGTCAGTTGCCAAGCCTCTGAACCTTGATCACGTGATCCTGGGACGCTGCGACAAAGCGTGAAAAACGGTCATAAGTCCCTTTTTTTTTAGTGTTACTGTAACTTTGAACAGTCACTAAACGAACTATTGTAAGTCGGGGACTATCTGCACTCTGTTGCTTTGCATGTACACTGAGAGCTTCTGCACCAGAGAAAAATTCCTTGTGTGTCCAGTCACACTTGGCCGAATTAAGTATTCCATTCTCTTTTGTTCTATTATTTCTATTTCCATTCTATTCGCGCACGTCAACTTTTTAAGAAGTTCTGAATAGAATAGTTAACAGGCCCAAACTATGATAGGTCCACAATATACCTTTATTGGCTGTTTTGACCGAGAAATGATCCCCTGCAGATGAGACGGATAGTTTTGCATGGGACACAATTGGATCCAGGTGCAAAATGTTCCTCCGCTTTCCAAGGAACCTTTGCAATCCAGAAAAGAAACCGGAACCAAACTTCCTGCCCGCCGTACCTGTCAGGTCGCTAAATTTGGTGACTCCGTATTCTGCAGTGCCCTGGTCCAG